TAAACCATCAACAGTACACATAAGCCATCAACAGTCACATAACCATCATCAGTACACATAAACCATCAACAGTACACATAAACCATCAACAGTGCACATAAAACATCAACAGTACACAAAAACCATTAACAGTCCACATAAACCATCAACAGTGCAAATAAACCATCAACAGTCACATAACCATCATCAGTACACATAAACCATCAACAGTACACATAAACCATCAACAGTGCACATAAACCATCAACAGTACACATAAACCATCAACAGTACACATAAACCATCAACAGTACACATAAACCATCAACAGTACACATAAACCATCAACAGTCACATAAACCATCAACAGTACACATAAACCATCAACAGTACACATAAACCATCAACAACACATAAACCATCAACAGACACATAAACCATCAACAGTACACATAAACCATCAACAGTACACATAAACCATCAACAGTACACATAAACCATCAACAGTCCACATCAATCATTAACAGTACATATAAACCATCACCAGTACACATAAACCATCAACAGTCCACATAAACCATCAACAGTACACATAAACCATCAACAGTCACATAAACCATCAACAGTACACATAAACCATCAACAGTACACATAAACCATCAACAGTACACATAAACCATCAACAGTATACATAAACCATCAACAGTACACATAAACAATCAACAGTACACATAAACCATCAACAGTCACATAAACAATCAACAGTACACATAAACCATCAACAGTACACATAAACAATCAACAGTACACATAAACCATCAACAGTACACATAAACCATCAACAGTCCAAATAAACCATCAACAGTCACATAAACCATCAACAGTACACATAAACCATCAACAGTACACATAAACCATCAACAGTCCACATAAACCATCAACAGTACACATAAACCATCAACAGTCACATAAACCATCAACAGTACACATAAACCATCAACAGTACACATAAACCATCAACAGTCCACATAAACCATCAACAGTACACATAAACCATTAACAGTATACATAAACCATCAACAGTACATATAAAACATCAACAGTCACATAAACCATCAACAGTCCACATAAACCATCAACAGTACACATAAACCATCAACAGTACACATAAACCATCAACAGTACACATAAACCATCAACAGTACACATAAACCATCAACAGTCACATAAACCATCAACAGTACACATAAACCATCAACAGTACACATAAACCATCAACAGTCCACCATCAACAGTCCACATAAACCCACATAAACCATCAGCAGTACACATAAACCATCAACAGTACAAATAGACCATCAACAGTACACATAAACCATCAACAGTCGACATAAACCATCAACAATACACATAAACCATCAACACATAAACCATCAACACATAAACCATCAACAGTACACATAAGCCATCAACAGTACACATAAACCATCAACAGTACACATAAACCATCAACAGTACACATAAACCATCAACAGTCCACATAAACCATCAACAGTACACATAAACCATCAACAGTCCACATAAACCATCAACAGTACACATAAACCATCAACATTCCACATAAACAGTCCACATAAACCATCAACAGTACACATAAACCATCAACAGTCCACATAAACCATCAACAGTACACATAAACCATCAACAGTCACATAAACCATCAACATTCCACATAAACCATCAACAGTACACATAAACCATCAACATTCCACATAAACCATCAACAGTACACATAAACCATCAACAGTCCACATAAACCATCAACAGTACACATAAACCATCAACAGTCACATAAACCATCAACAGTACACATAAACCATCAACAGTACACATAAACCATCAACAGTCCACATCAATCATTAACACTACATATAAACCATCAACACTCCACATAAACCATCAACCATCAACAGTACACATCAACCGTCAACAGTACACTTAAACCATCAACAGTAACATAAAACATCAACAGTCCACATAAACCATCAACAGTAACATAAACCATCAGCAGTCCACATAAACCATCAACAGTCCACATAAACCATCAACAGTACACATAAACCATCAACAGTACACATAAACCATCAACAGTCCAAATAAACCATTAACAGTCACATAAACCATCAGCAGTACACATAAACCATCAACAGTACAAATAAACCATCAACAGTACACATAAACCATCAACAGTCCACATCAATCATTAACACTACATATAAACCATCAACAGTCACTTAAACCATCAACAGTACACATAAACCATCAACAGTACACATAAACCATCAACAGTCCACATAAACCATCAACAGTACACATAAACCATCAACAGTCACATAAACCATCAACAGTACACATAAACCATCAACAGTACACATAAACCATCAACAGTACACATAAGCCATCAACAGTACACATAAACCATCAACAGTACACATAAACCATCAACAGTCCACATAAACCATCAACAGTACACAAAAACCATCAACAGTACACATAAACCATCAACAGTCCACATAAACCATCAACAGTACACATAAACCATCAACAGTCACATAAACCATCAACAGTACACATAAACCATCAACAGTACACATAAACCATTAACACTCCACATAAACCATCAACAGTCACATAAATCATCAACAGTACACATAAACCATCAACAGTACACATAAACCATCAACAGTACACATAAACCATCAACAGTACACATAAACCATCAACAGTCACATAAACCATCAACAGTACACATCAGCCATCAACAGTACACATAAGCCATCAACAGTACACATAAACCATTAACACTCCACATAAACCATCAACAGTCCACATAAACCATCAACAGTACACATAAACCATCAACAGTACACATAAACCATCAACTGTCCACATAAACCATCAACAGTAAACATAAACCATCAACTGTCACATAAACCATCAACAGTCACATAAACCATCAACTGTCCACATAAACCATCAACAGTCCACATAAACCATCAACAGTACAAATAAACCACCAACAGTCACATAAACCATCAACAGTCACATAAACCATCAACATTCCACATAAACCATCAACAGTACACATAAACCATCAACAGTCACATAAACCATCAACAGTACACATAAACCATCAACAGTACACATAAACCATCAACACACATCAACACACATAAACCATCAACAGTACACATAAACCATCAACAGTACACATAAACCATCAACAACATCAACACACATAAACCATCAACAGTACACATAAACCATCAACAGTCCACAGCAATCATAAACACTCCACATAAACAATCATCAGTACACATAAACCATCAACAGTACACATAAGCCATCAACAGTACACAAAAACCATAAACAGTCCACATAAACCATCAACAGTACACTTAAACCATCAACAGTAACATAAAACATCAACAGTCCACATAAACCATCAACAGTACACATAAACCATCAACAGTACACATAAACCATCAACAGTACACATAAACCATCAACAGTACACATAAACCATCAACAGTACACATAAACCATTAACACTCCACATAAACCATCAACAGTCACATAAACCATCAACAGTACACATAAACCATCAACAGTCACATAAACCATCAACAGTCACATAAACCATCAACAGTCACATAAACCATCAACAGTACACATAAACCATCAACAGTACACATAAACCATCAAAAGTCCACATCAATCATTAACACTACATATAAACCATCAACAGTCCACATCAATCATTAACAGTACATATAAACCATCAACAGTCCACATAAACCATCAACAGTACACATAAACCATCAACAGTACACATAAACCATCAACAGTCACATAAACCATCAACAGTCCACATAAACCATCAACAGTACACATAAACCATCAACAGTCACATAAACCATCAACAGTCCACATAAACCATCAACATTCCACATAAACCATCAACACACATAAACCATCAACAGTGCAAATAAACCATCAACAGTCACATAAACCATCAACAGTACACATAAACCATCAACAGTACACATAAACCATCAACAGTCACATAAACCATCAACAGTACACATAAACCATCAACAGTACACATAAACCATCAACAGTACACATAAACCATCAACAGTCACATAAACCATCAACAGTCCACATAAACCATCAACAGTACACATAAACCATCAACAGTACACATAAACCATCAACAGTACACATAAACCATCAACAGTCACATAAACCATCAACAGTCCACATAAACCATCAACAGTCACATAAACCATCAACAGTCACATAAACCATCAACAGTACACATAAACCATCAACAGTCCACATAAACCATCAACAGTCACATAAACCATCAACAGTCACATAAACCATCAACATTTCTGGAATAATCTGCTTTACAAACGATTATGCAATGATTACAAAAAAGCGGCTACTCGGCGAGATAACGGATAACTATATAATACTAAAATAGGAGTGTAGTGAATCCGGATTTACATGTAGTCTGTCTACTTCTACACACGATCAAGTTTTAACACAAGAACCGGTGTTTGGTGTAAATTAAAATTATTCAGAATATGTGAGAAATTGCACAAAAAAGAGACTAAAACACATGTTATACGGATAAATACTTCATTCTTTGTGAACTGTGCCGATAAACTTGTGTCATTTTGTAAACCTCTTGTTTATAAGACTGATAATACTGCATGCATAGCTATTAGGTCGTGAGGTTTTATGTGTATATCAATGGTTTCGGATGACGATAATATCTGCTGTTTTACTGGCTAGTCTATCACAGGGTTCCCCTCCAATACACCTGTCCTCGGTTATACCGATAGGATGTAAAGATTACACTCAACTGTTCACGTACTGTATTATCCCTGTTCTGTTTATGCTTTAACAGTCCACAATACTTGTTAGGATTTTTCGAATGTTTTGAAATTCGTTCAGTGTCGGCTCTGGCGATCTATTGAGGCGCTTATGGCTGCTCCGCTTAGCCAAACGATATAAAGTATGCTAGAAAATATAAACAGCCATGCAAAAGACCAATTTTCTTGGTGAGGTCTAACTATCAACCGCGTCGTCGAGCGTCTGAAGTTGAATGTCTCTACACGTGGTACACGACGAACTACAATGACTTCCGCTAACTCCTGAATCGGACGTTCATCTGAAATGGAAATGCAGATGTATATTGAGTACAAAGAGAATGACTGGCTAGTTATTTTATTGCTTCAGTCATCCGTAGACGGGCTGAAACGTGGGTCCCGTATGAGGTACTGACTTAACCATACGAGTGTACCATCTTACACAAAAATATTTCCAGTGGTAACATGGCTTTGAATACAAACTGCATCATGTGCACACCAAGGTTTGGGGCAAGCAGATGGGTTATTATCCAGTTATGGAAAATGGAAAATTCACCATCGTTAAATCTAAATCGTCAAGCTGGGTGAAAAGCTAACTGTTAATTTCGTTGTGGGAAAAAATCGAGGTAAAGGGCTCACGTAGAAGGTCTACAAATTTTACAAATCCTCCAAACAAATATAGAAGGTAAGGGTAGCCCGCTGTGATGCATAGTGGGCCAGAAAAAATGACAAACAAATATGACCGTGACAAGACATGACAGCAGGTTAGTTTAAATATATAAGTAACAGAGGTCATTATCCAATTCGATGCCTACGCTAGGATTCAAACCCTGGACCTCTGGTTTACTAGTCTGACGCTCAAACGACAAAGAAGTTCAGCCCACCAGCATAGCATTTCACCATGGTAACACGTGAATTTAAAAATGTTTTGTGTTTAAATATGCTTAAGTATCAATAGATTTTACCCCTTGCAGCACTTCGAACAAAACAACATCGATAGATTTACGGAATTGGAAACATAAATGACAATAAATTGTGTACCTTTTATCACAGCGGGAATTGCGATTTCCACTTCTTTGTTCATAATGTCCTGTAAGTGATTAAGAGCTTTTTGAAAATTCTGCTTAAGAATTTCAATCCGTTTCATTCCTGATCGACTTTTTGATAAAAACGGAAGTGTGTCCTTGCTTTCAATTATTGTTTTTGAAAGATGAGATTTAAATTTCTTCATTTGTTCCAAATATTTCTCAGAAGATTGCATTTTGTCTCTTAAAGACTTAACACGTCCTCTGCATACTTGATAGCAGAACTTTTTACATTCCCCTTCACGGTCACTGGGAATTTTTCCAGATGTGTATAAAAGATTAAACAACCTTATTAGTTCATCTTCAGCGCAACTGTTTTGTCTAAGTCTGTTTGTTATACATTTATTCTGGAGTTTGGTGTAAGCGATTTCCTGCCTCATGTCAGTCAGTATATGGTCGAGCTGACACCGATAACTCCTACAGGCTTTGTCAGCTGTTACCACTTCATGTAGGTCTTCATTTCTATGTTCTTCAATCACTCCATGAGCGCAGACAATTTTACAACATTCCATGCAAAAAAATTTCAAAAATCCATTATCGTGGCCATCTTTGTTACATCTATTGTTAACATATTTTGTGTTTTTAATAAGTGGCTGTTGTACATGATGTCGATATGGCTTTTTCTCGTGAGTCTTTAAATTGCACATATTGCAAAGCACCTTTGAACAAGTAAAACACTTATAATCAGCCCTTTTCGATGTACATTTCTCACACTTAGGTACCGTTTTATTCCTGATGAAATCCACCAAGTCCCCTCTTGTGAGATCCCTTGTATATTTTGTGCTCTCACTTTCATACTTATGAACTTTATTACATTGAGGACACGTGATACTTCCGCTATGTTGCGGTAACTTCTCGAGACATTGCGAACAGTATGCATGTTGACATGGTAACAGCATTGGGACGTTGGTCTCGTCATCATATTCCTCAACACAAATTGGACACTCAAGATACCGGGTCATTAGTTCGGATACAAGGATCTTATCATCCTGATCATCCGACATATCGTAATGATGTTGTTTGAATTTATCCAATGGTACTGAATTGTCCACGATTTTAGACACGCATGCACAAACTAGGTTTGTTATCCAGTAGCCCGATAGTGTTATCTACCTAACGTACAGGCCTGCAAGTGATACAATACCGTTGACTATCGGCCTTGACCGAAAGAAAAAAACATTGACATAACTACGATAAAATCGTATATCTCGCTTTGTCAACTTAGCAATATTTTGTATTATGCCCGATGTCGAGTAATCTATCGGTCTTTATGTTGATACGGAAATATTTGCATAAAGGCATTCGAATGTCGAAATTAAGTTTAACATACAACAGCGAAGATAAAGTTACCGCCTCATTTACCAGGCACAGTGTAATTTTTCTGTTGCACAACGTAGGTCCCAATATTGAATATTGTAAAGATCTATTTTTAAATTTCCCTTTGTTAAATGGAACAGCCATCGTAAGACAAGTTCGGCAATTATCATAATTAAAAAGAACGACATTGAAATGTGTTATTTTTTTCTTGTCGTAAGGGATCAAGAATGACAAAATGATCTGCATGTTTAAAACGTCATTTCTCACCCGGACACGTTAACATGACTCCCCAGGTAGCAAGCTGTGTGTGTGTGATAGGCACTAATCAGCTGGGTGTAAGTCGTAGGCATGCAGTAGGTAATCGGCAGTAAATTGTAGGTAGTAGGTCATCGGCAGTAAATTGTAGGCAGTAGGTTATAGGCAATAAATTGTAGGCAGTAGGTAATCGGCAGAAAATTGTAGGCAGTAGGTTATAGGCATTATATTGTAGGCAGTGAACAGTTTGGCAGTGAACTCTAGACAGTAGGTAATCGGCAGTAAATTGTAGGCAGTAGGTAATCGGCAGTGATTTGTAGGCAGTAGGTAATCGGCAATAAATTGTAGGAAGTAGGTTATAGGCAGAAAATTGTAGGCAGTAGGTAATCGGCAGTAAATTGTAGGCAGTAGGTAATCGACAGTAAATTGAAGGAAGTAGGTAATCGGCAGTAAATTGTAGGCAGTAGGTAATCGGCAGAAAATTGTAGGAAGTAGGTAATCGGCAAGTAAATTGTAGGAAGTAGGTAATCGGCAGTAAATTGTAGGAAGTAGGTAATCGGCAAGTAAATTGTAGGCAGTAGATTATAGGCAATAAATTGTAGGAAGTAGGTAATCGGCAAATGAATTGTAGGCAGTAGGTTATAGGCAGTAAATTGTAGGCAGTAGGTAATAGGCAGTAAATTGTAGGAAGTAGGTAATCGGCAGTAAATTGTAGGCAGTAGGTTATAGGCAGTAAATTGTAGGAAGTAGGTAATCGGCAAGTGAATTGTAGGCAGTAGGTTATAGGCAGTAAATTGTAGGAAGTAGGTAATCGGCAGTAAATTGTAGGCAGTAGGTTATAGGCAGTAAATTGTAGGAAGTAGGTAATCGGCAGTAAATTGTAGGCAGTAGGTTATAGGCAGTAAATTGTAGGAAGTAGGTAATCGGCAAGTGAATTGTAGGCAGTAGGTTATAGGCAGTAAATTGTAGGCAGTAGGTAATCGGCAATAAATTGTAGAACGTAGGTAATCGGCAAATGAATTGTAGGCAGTAGGTTATAGGCAGTAAATTGTAGGCAGTAGGTAATCGGCAGTAAATTGTAGGAAGTAGGTAATCGGCAGTAAATTGTAGGCAGTAGGTTATAGGCAGAAAATTGTAGGAATTAGGTAATCGGCAGTAAATTGTAGGCAGTGGGTTATAGGCAGTAAATTGTAGGCAGTGGGTTATAGGCAGTAAATTATAGGCAGTGGGTTATAGGCAGTTAATTGTAGGAAGTAGGTAATCGGCAGTAAATTGTAGGCAGTGGGTTATAGGCAGTAAATTGTAGGCAGTGGGTTATAGGCAGTAAATTGTAGGAAGTAGGTAATCGGCAGTAAATTGTAGGCAGTAGGTTATAGGCAGTAAATTGTAGGCAGTTGGTTTTAGGCAGTAAATTGTAGGAAGTAGGTAATCGGCAGTAAATTGTAGGAAGTAGGTAATCGGCAGTAAATTGTAGGCAGTAGGTTATAGGCAGTAAATTGTAGGCAGTAGGTAATCGGCAGTAAATTGTAGGAAGTAGGTAATCGGCAAGTAAATTGTAGGAAGTAGGTTATAGGCAGTAAATTGTAGGAAGTAGGTAATCGGCAAGTGAATTGTAGGCAGTAGGTAATCGGCAGTAAATTGTAGGAAGTAGGTAATCGGCAGTAAATTGTAGGCAGTAGGTAATCGGCAAGTGAATTGTAGGCAGTAGGTTATAGGCAGTAAATTGTAGGCAGTAGGTAATTGGCAGTAAATTGAAAGAAGTAGGTAATCGGCAGTAAATTGTAAGTAGGTAATCGGCAGTAAATTGAAAGAAGTAGGTAATCGGCAGTAAATTGTAGGAAGTAGGTTATAGGCAGTAAATTGTAGGAAGTAGGTTATAGGCAGTAAATTGTAGGCAGTAGGTTATAGGCAGTAAATTGTAGGCAGTAGGTAATCGGCAGTAAATTGTAGGCAGTAGGTAATCGGCAGTAAATTGTAGGCAGTAGGTTATAGGCAGTAAATTGTAGGCAGTAGGTTATAGGCATTATATTGTAGGAAGTAGGTTATAGGCAGTAAATTGTAGGCAGTGGGTTATAGGCAGTAAATTGTAGGCAGTAGGTAATCGGCAGTAAATTGTAGGAAGTAGGTAATCGGCAAGTGAATTGTAGGAAGTAGGTAATCGGCAGTAAATTGTAGGCAGTAGGTTATAGGCAGTAAATTGTAGGCAGTAGGTAATCGGCAGTAAATTGAAGGAAGTAGGTAATCGGCAGTAAATTGTAGGCAGTAGGTTATAGGCAGTAAATTGTAGGCAGTGGGTTATAGGCAGTAAATTGTAGGCAGTAGGTTATAGGCAGTAAATTGTAGGCAGTAGGTTATAGGCATTATATTGTAGGAAGTAGGTAATCGGCAGTAAATTGTAGGCAGTAGGTAATCGGCAGTAAATTGTAGGAAGTAGGTAATCGGCAGTAAATTGTAGGCAGTAGGTTATAGGCAGTAAATTGTAGGCAGTAGGTTATAGGCATTATATTGTAGGAAGTAGGTAATCGGCAGTAAATTGTAGGCAGTAGGTAATCGGCAGTAAATTGTAGGCAGTAGGTAATCGGCAAGTGAATTGTAGGCAGTAGATTATAGGCAGTAAATTGTAGGAAGTAGGTAATCGGCAAGTAAATTGTAGGAAGTAGGTTATAGGCAGTAAATTGTAGGCAGTAGGTTATAGGCATTATATTGTAGGAAGTAGGTAATCGGCAGTAAATTGTAGGCAGTAGGTAATCGGCAGTAAATTGTAGGCAGTAGGTAATCGGCAGTAAATTGTAGGAAGTAGGTAATCGGCAGTAAATTGTAGGAAGTAGGTAATCGGCAGTAAATTGTAGGAAGTAGGTAATCGGCAGTAAATTGTAGGAAGTAGGTAATCGGCAAGTGAATTGTAGGCAGTAGGTAATCGGCAATAAATTGTAGAACGTAGGTAATCGGCAGTAAATTGTAGGAAGTAGGTTATAGGCAGTAAATTGTAGGCAGTAGGTAATCGGCAGTAAATTGTAGGAAGTAGGTAATCGGCAGTAAATTGTAGGCAGTAGGTTATAGGCAGTAAATTGTAGGCAGTAGGTAATCGGCAGTAAATTGAAGGAAGTAGGTAATCGGCAGTAAATTGTAGGCAGTAGGTTATAGGCAGTAAATTGTAGGAAGTAGGTAATCGGCAATAAATTGAAAGAAGTAGGTAATCGGCAGTAAATTGTAGGAAGTAGGTAATCGGCAGAAAATTGTAGGCAGTAGGTTATAGGCAGTAAATTGTAGGCAGTAGGCAGTAAATTGTAGGAAGGTAATCGGTAATCGGCAAGTAAATTGTAGGAAGTAGGTTATAGGCAGTAAATTGTAGGAAGTAGGTAATCGGCAGTAAATTGTAGGCAGTAGGTTATAGGCAGTAAATTGTAGGCAGTAGGTAATCGGCAGTAAATTGAAAGAAGTAGGTAATCGGCAGTAAATTGTAGGCAGTAGGTTATAGGCAGTAAATTGTAGGAAGTAGGTAATCGGCAGTAAATTGTAGGAAGTAGGTAATCGGCAGTAAATTGTAGGCAGTAGGTTATAGGCAGTAAATTGTAGGAAGTAGGTAATCGGCAGTAAATTGTAGGCAGTGGGTTATAGGCAGTAAATTGTAGGAAGTAGGTAATCGGCAGTAAATTGTAGGAAGTAGCTAATCGGCAAGTGAATTGTAGGCAGTAGGTTATAGGCAGTAAATTGTAGGCAGTAGGTTATAGGCAGTAAATTGTAGGCAGAAGGTTATAGGCATTATATTGTAGGCAGTATGTAATCGGCAGTAAATTGAAGGAAGTAGGTAATCGGCAGTAAATTGTAGGCAGTAGGTTATAGGCAGTAAATTGAAGGAAGTAGGTAATCGGCAGTAAATTGTAGGCAGTAGGTTATAGGCAGTAAATTGAAGGAAGTAGGTAATCGGCAGTAAATTGTAGGCAGTAGGTTATAGGCAGTAAATTGTAGGCAGTAGGTTATAGGCAGTAAATTGTAGGAAGTAGGTAATCGGCAGTAAATTGTAGGCAGTAGGTTATAGGCAGTAAATTGGAGGAAGTAGGTTATAGGCAGTAAATTGTAGGCAGTAGGTTATAGGCAAGTGAATTGTAGACAGTGAACAGTAGACAGTGAACAGTAGACAGTGAACTGTAGACAGTGGACAGCAGGCAGTGAACTGTAGACAGTATACTATAGACAGTGAACAGTAGGCAGTGAACTGTAGACAGTAAACAGTAGACAGAGAACAGTAGGCAGTGAACAGAAGGCAGTGAACTGTAAGCAGTGAACAGTAGGCAGTGAACAGTAGACAGTGAACAGTAGGCAGTGAACTGTAGAGAGTGAATTGTAGGCAGTAAACTGTAGACAGTGAACTGTAGACAGTGAACAGTAGGCAGTGAACTGTAGAGAGTGAATTGTAGGCAGTGAACAGTAG